AAAGCATGAGTCGCTGCTCTTGACATGGATATCATTGAATGAAACAAAATTAAGGTTACCTAATGGAAAAGCTAGTTGAGTTCTACTATCACCGCTCGTATGAACGGCACCCTGCCTTTAATTTTTCTTCTTTTTTCATCGTTTTTTCGTTTATTTTTTCTTATCTTGTTTTACCTTTCTTTTTCATATGCATTTTTTTTCTTTACCTTTTCTTAGTCTTTGCATCGCTCTTATACCCACATGAGTAGAGTCAAAAATTCGCATACTGCTCATATGTCAACTGCAGAAAGTAGTGCATGGATGTTCTTCTATAGCATTTAAATCTCATAAACTCTCTTTATCTTAACATGTAAGCATCTCTAAGTATTCCATAAACGGCATAATAAAAAAGAGTAATAGACACAGAATTCTGCTTGTCGTAAAAATTGGGTTTGAATATATGTGATATTGATCTTTTTTAATGTAACCCGTCATACTCTATTCAACCATGACGAAGAAATAAAAATAAACACTAATGTAAATTTCTAATGTGGACACATGATAGATTGTAAATATCGCGAAATTTGAATATTTCGATCTATGCAGACATTGAACAATCTAAGTAACAAATTAGCTGGTTTGGTAATGAGAGCATACATTTGATCGAATATGATCAATGTCCCTAAGCTACAGTACATGATTTCCAATTGTAAACCATATTTTGTTTGTATTACATTTCTTTACTATGAAATATCATGAGAAATCAAGCATGAGTCTATAATTGATAAAAGTAAAGCGTTTTCTACGAGCACGTCTACTTAGTAGTCATTTGTTTGCAACAAATTGCCCTTGATAATCAGTTTTTGCTTTCGGAGGAAACATTTCGATTTGTTTCTAATTTTGAAAACAAGAATTTCTGATTTTTAAGTATTTCATCTAACGACCCTAGTTAAGAATGTCCCCAAAAGATAGTTGAAAAACAGCATCTACATAACGTGATATCTCGTTGCCATTCTTAGAGTATGTGATTATTTTTCTCAGTTTACTGAGATCTTTTCGTGGTTTATAAATAAAACAATCATATATCATTGAATAAATTTCATTGTGAATTTTGTTTATTAATACATCATTGCCTTGTCGTTTTCTTAGAGGAAGTTTGCATTGAAAAGGGTAAATTGTGTTCTGAGAATTGTAGTACTAATTAAAATGAAAAGAGCTATCGATCTCGCCAAACCATAACTTTTTAAGGCACGATCAAATCTATAAATTCTAGAAAAATGAGAGATTTTATTAGTGACTGTTCTTCATAGAGTATCAACTGATAAGATCGCATTTCAAGTCAGCTGTTCTTTACATAAAAAACACGAATGAATTTCTGCTTAATCGGAATAATTTTATTCGGTGTTGTAGAAATGGGAAACACGCGAAGTAAAGAAGAAAAAAAAGAAGTATCAATTCTTCGTAAACTTCAACATGGCGAAGCCAGTGATTTTTATTGGGCATGTCGAAATGGTGACCTTGATTGTGTTCGAAAGATTTTTTTTTCAACTGATTTTATTGATATAAATCAACTTGAACCCAATGGAAGTACAGCTTTACATGCAGCTTCCTATTTCGGTCATTTTCATGTTGTTCAGTTTCTTCTTGAAAATGGAATTTTTCGACATCGAAGAAATCGATATGGTCTGACAGCATATGAAGAGACTCACAATAATAAGATCCGTGAACTGTTTCATCGCCCATCCAAATCACAGCGATTCTCTACGAATAGAGTAGAAGATGTTCAACGTCTATTTACTTTAGAAATCGAAGAGTTAACAGAAGACGAGGATACTCCACCCAATGATTGGATTGAAAAAGGAAGTGAAGAAAAAGACATTGTTTTTGTACGAGCGGGTTTTAATTCTATGAAAACTGTATTAAATTCATCTATTTGGCGACCAATATTGATGGCTTTCTTGAAGCGTACTGGATATGATTCTAATCTCGCTATCATCCTCAACGAAAAAGTAGCTATGCAAAAGATACAACGTCTTATTGATACCTGTGTTACTTCATCACATCCGGAGTATAAGAAAGCTTGTGAACTTCTCGCTAAATATGATAAATCCAAGAATGTTCAACATCTTCTACGTCTTTATTCACTTGAAACACCGTTTTATCAATACTTGGGCAGAGGTACAAGTGCCGATTGTCTATTGTTTCCAATTCTTTTTAAACTCGATACATTGAAAAATCGTGGTTATCAAGGTTGCTCCTATCGCGGTTTAACACTGACTAAAAAAGATCTCCGAGCATATAAATGGGCATTCAAACATCAGAGTAGTATTCTCGTGACAAACAGTTTTTGTTCATCATCCGTTAACAAAAATGTTGCATTGAGTTTCATTCGAAATGTCTCTGAAGAGAAAATTGGAGTTTTAATGGTTTTCAACTTTGCAGAAACATGCGATACAGCTATTCAACTGTTTACTTTATCGAAGGATTTACCTGGAATATCTGATTTTGAAGATGAAAGAGAAGTTCTTATCTTACCATATACACTCTTTCATGTAACGAACATTGATACTGACAAAACTACTATTCAACAAACAATCTATCTTGAAAATGTTACGACAAAAGGAGGACTTTTCTCGTTATGTAAAGCTGCTTGGAAGTCTGAGCAGACTTCCAAATGATGACACTTCTAAACGAGGAGATGCTGTGCACACAAGCTTCTTTTGTGCGAAGTGAAATGCTGCCATTTGTATATAACTTTCAATTTTAATAATAACGAGACATGTATGATAGTCTTCATTTAGTTTATTGATTAGTGCTCAAGTAGATCTTCTATCCAAGACATACGTGTGATTGAGTGTAGGAAAAGCGAGACTTCTTTTGCTACGACTGCCAATTCACGAACATCGACTCACACGTTATCGATACCCTATTGATAATGATATTGATTACTGTCATTCAGCTCTTAGAGGCCGCTTCGGATCGAATAGCAAAGTTGCATTTAGTGATGGTAATGCAACCGTTCGATTTTTGTTTTTGTGTAGACAGATCTAATGGCCGATAGATCCGTCAAATCGCCTAGTATCTGATTTCTATTTCTGACGACGATGTCACAAGTAAGTTTAGAATTCAGTTGAGATTGAAATAGCCTTTTATAATTTTGTAATAAAAACATATCGTGAATGCATCGAAAAAAAAAGAATACAGGCTACACAAAAAAAACTCTGTGACACTCAAGAATGGCTTCTCAAAATTTTATATTTCATTCGAATTAAACTTTATTTATATATGATGATTTTATATTATACTGTACAGAAGCAAAAATTTTGATTTTCATGAATAAAAATAAAAAGAACAAAAATCGTTCAGGAGAAAAAAGTTCTGCGATATATGTACATGGTTATCAATAAAACCAGAATTATGTGACCAACTAGTATTTTGGAAGTCACACAGAATTCAAGAATGCATTTCAGTTAAAGGCAAATGTATAGACTACTGAATTTTATCTAGTCATAATTTGTTTTATAATTTTTATGTTAATTATTATATATATATTCCAAAACTTTTTTCTGCTGGACGATTGTTTTTTTTTTTGTTTTTGTACATGAAAATCAGAAGTTGTGCGTCTGTATCATATAATATGAAAGCTTAGTGAATGAATACACTAATGTTTCATTTAGATATTGTTGTAAACGATCTTGGAATGTATTTATTGAGAACATACTCTTCTGTTCTGGCATTGTAACTGCATAAATAGAAGAAGAAGTGGCAGGAAATATAGATGAAAGACTAGTAGCTCGAGATGAAAAATAAAAATATGAGTTTATGTTATATATTAGATATATTAAAGACATACTATTCGATTATCTCTTGCTTTAACAGAAGAGTTGATGATAATCTATAGATGAAAATAAAATATTATATTCATATTCTGAGATGAGACTCATTTGTCATTCACTTGCGATTTAATTGGTAAATCGGTATGTTCCGATTGATGATGGTGATTTATTTTCGGAAAAAGTTTCCTTTTTAATTCTTGAAAATTATGTGATTTAGCTGCTACCTTATAATCATTTCTATGAGTTCATCTAAATGCAATAATAGTTGAATTATCTCGAAGAATATTTACATGATATCGTTTAACATCATGAAATATTTTTATATTTTATTTTCAAAAATTAATTCAATTATTAGACAAGATGGTAATCATCCGTATAAAATGACTTCATCATCATTTACACCTCTTTTATCACCAAGTTCATCATCTGAAAATAGATGAAGAGGTTAACTTATAGAAAAAAAGAGAATCGTTAATAATTACAGATCTAATCTTTATATTCGACTTTAAAGATAGGATAAACAGCAATCATAATCCATCCAATATGGAGTTTAATAGTAGTTGAATGCGGTTTATCGATATTAAATGGGATACTTTGTGCTGAAGCAATGTTATTTTCGACATTATCAACAACTGAAATAATTGTAATATCATATATCGTCTTTATCATTTCGACAGTTAACATTCAATCTTTAAAAGCTGGAATAAAAGAAAAATATTCACTTTTTTAATCTGTTAGAAATTTAAAATTTTATTTAGATGATATCTTATCATCAACATTTATAAATTTCATTTCGGCATAGTTTTCATCTGTTAATTGGAATGTAAAAACATTTTTTCGAATAAATCGTAAGATATATTCAATATCATTATATTTTATTATTGTATCTGTATCAAGATAGTGAATTTTAACAGTATCATATTTATATATTTATAATAATGATAGCTCTTTGGTTTGTAATTGTAGTTCATATTGTCGACAAACTTTATCGAATTCTATTGAATAAACAATATATGTAAAGAAGAAAAGAAATGTTTACCGATTTCGTCATTACATTGAACAGACAAAACTTGTTCATTTATTATTGAACGACCAAGAATTGTATAAAAAACATTATTTTCAACAAGTAAAGCAATATACAATCTATCTCGACTTCAAAATTATTCGTTCTTGTTTATCATTAATTTATATTTTTAATATAAAACTTGGACGATTGATTATTTGATTTATACGTTTAGATTTAATATCAATATTATCACAAGTAAGAATCGATAGAACGAGTAATTTTTCAACATCTAAAACAAAACTAATCGGTTTCTATGTAAAGAAAAAAAAAATAAATTTTCTATCATCATCGCGTTTGAATTCAATAGTTCCTCGATGAAAAAATCCATTTTCATTTTCTTTCTACATTTAAAAGCATTTCAGTTATTTCCGTATACGGTGCAAGATTTAACGATGGAGAACTTGTATCATTTTCTTCTATTAATTTTTGTTTCTAATTTAAACATTTTCGAGTACTTGTAAAAGATTTTGAACAAGTTAAACTTTGTTTTAAACGAATTAAGTTAATAATTAATTGAGAATTAATATCTTGACAATTCCTTTGTTCAACTATTTTTCGATTTTTATCAGAAATAAAATCATGTGGAAAACAACAATTTCGTATTGTACAATAACGTAATTTGTGATATAAGTGAAGTTTACCACAAGATCTTATGACATTACAACAATGATCATCAAGAAATGTTCCACGAATGTCAATCGATATCTAAAAAAAAATTAATTACTTTTGAATCGACACGAACTATCATTGAATTAGTTTTATTAAATGATAATTGAAATAATCCTGGATTAAGTAATTGAGTACGACAAGAACCTTCTTCAATATAATATTGGATACTTTGTGCAACAAGTAAAAGACTACGATCAAAATCTTTTGAAATAACAACTCTTTTTTTGAAGAAAATTTTGTCAAATAAATTAGTCTTTGTTCAATAATGACATCTAAAAGATACTTTTAAAAAAAATTTATTGCTTTTGATTATTGAAAAATCAAAAAGAACTCATAGAACGATTGAAAAAATGCAACATGTATGGTTTGAAACAGCAACAGATACGTTGAAGACTAAAATTCAATTAAAATTTTCGCTTACTTACATGCTCCCATCATTGCATCCATATCAAACTAGATCTTAATACTGTTAGAAGTACCTTAAGATGTCTCTCCATGAACATTAGTCTTCTAGATAGAACCTACTATTCAACTCTTGATTCTAGCTAGCTATTGATATTCTGTAAAAATCACGTGAGGCAGCTCAGAAAGTTGAACATTCCCTCATTAAAATGTATTTATAAGTGAAATATCTTGAAATTATCATGAACAATGCAAAAAAGAGATATGTTTGAAATAAATGAGTGTTTTTTTTTAATGTTATATAATCAGTTCATAGGGTTGCAGATAAGTTTTGATTAGACGAATCAATAGTTCCTTTTTGAACACTGTAGTTTTTGAGAAATAGCTATAAACATTGACGCTAACATAATATGCTCAAGTAATCAATGTTAAAATGTTCGAAATTAGTAAGACACAGTCTTATAAGTGTCTGGCAACTGTTTCTTAACACGATAAGAAGCAAGGCATTGCAAGAAGACACCACATACAATAAACAGACTGCCAATACTCATAACGATTCGAGAGTCTCTAGAATTTGGTTGCTTCCATTGAACACGACTTGGCTTACGTAAATCATACCAACATGAATGTGTGCTATTGATCTAAAAAGCAAACAACCGATGATTCTTATATTTCATAAATATAAAAAAAATTCTCTTTTTCATTCTCTTAGTTCGTTTATGTGTCAATAATTTATAGGACTTAGTTTGAATATTCCTAATTCTCATCCACCCTTTTCTGCTGAGAAAATTAAACTTTCAAAAGTAGTGAGTGTTGTTTGTGTTCTTTAAAGTCAGAATAGCGTTCATTGAATACAACATATTATATCTGTTTGTGCCTAAGAAAATCGGAACACTGTTCTTTCAAATCAGTCAGCTGGTTTCTTATCAGAAGCCTTCTTCATTTCATAGAGAATGACTCAATAATATCTGTCATTACTCTTCTATGTTACGAGATGAATCAAAATGAGCGTTGCCAGAGCTAAATCTATTTTACTCTATGATTTTACAAATGAGTCATTATTCATAACACTATTTTCCATTAGCGAATCTAGTATTTACCCTATATTCGCCTATATTGTTCATAGCGTCGTCTCGATATCGATATTTTATACCTTCGATGGTGGCATTGATTGTTGTTTTTACTATGTGTTGCACTTCCCACACGACACAATAGCAATCAGACCCTGAAGAGCGGTTTGGTCTGCATATGTCTTTTTTATAACCAATTGTTAACACGTGACAATTATTTTGTTTATAATATTCTTCTCTCGGAAATATAAAATAGAGAGTCATCCCAAAAATCATACCAAGCATACCCAAACAAAATAAAAAGCTACCAAGGCTGAATACGTTACCAGTGTCCCACTCGTCGGACTCTTTCGTATCCATGTCGAGTAAGAATAAAAAAAAGTAAAAATTTTCAGTTCCATTGTTTTTTCTTTCTCTTTTGCGTGTCACACTCCAAACGTAGACATCAATAGTCAATTACAGCACGCTGTGAAGTTGTTCGATGTTTGCGATGCATATTGTTTGAAAGAAATCGATGAAAACGAAATAACCTTCATTTTGTGTAAGAGTTGAATTTTGACGTCATACATTAACCATCCCGCCTATGAAGCAAATTTTTTTCTTTTCAAATGCTCTTGGCGGCAAAACCATTCATTCTGTTAATATGCATCAATGTCACAAATCTTGTCAATATCAATGAATAATCAAAGATGCAGGCGACAAAAAAATCTTTGCGCAAAGCAGTGTTTCAACATCTACTTTTAGCAGGAGAAAAAAGACTTTTGTTTATGTTTCGATACCTCGTCATTGATTTTAATGTATTTTTATTCTCTAATAGATGCTATTCAAAAGATCCATTGCATGCTTTTACTTTGTCTACTTTTGACGAGTTTATTTGCCATGCATGTAAACTTGTTCTTTTTTTCTGCAAACCAAATGAATTTGTTTTACATACACATTACTAGGTACTATTTGTAATGTGGTTTTTCCAAAAAACAAGTTACTTTACAAAAGAGTTGAATGAATGCTTGCCTTTGTATTTTGAATAAAAACACTTTTTCTATGAAATAAACAGCTGCTAACATGTAGACTTTACCTTTTGTGTCTGCTTAAAGTACTTTTGTTTCAGTCTTGTTGAACATGATCCAGTATTTCTTTACCAAGTTTTGAATTTGGGCTGCATAAAACTGAAAATTAATATAATAATCAGAAATATGAAAAATTATATGATATGGGTGTGGATGTGAATGTGTCTGTCTCACTTAACCTCATGCATACTCACATCAACATATATATATACCAACACCCATACCTAAACTATTTAGCATGAATTCATATAACAAGTTTATTTTTCTGTTACTAAATTAAGTAAAGAGTTTTTGAGTTAGTAAAGTCTGTATTAAGATATGATTTTTAATTTCTATATTCATGATTATGATCGGAACATAAGACTTGAAATCTTATGGCAAATAAATTAGTGTGTGAAGCGATATGTGCTATTTGAGTTTCTCTATTAGTTATGTTTTCCCCTCACCCCCCCCCCCCCCCCCCCCCCATAATAGAAGCCCCCGGGGGCTTCTAAACTGCCCAGCGTTCAAAATTTTCGGAGGGAACTTCTATTATGTCCCACGATTTTTCAAAGATTTCAGGTACCAAAGTTTTTCAAAAGCCTTAAGGAGACTTTCAGAGTTTTTACGGGATTTTCGCAGGATTTTCAAGGAAATTTCGAGATTTTAATACTGACAAGCAAGAATTTAGTATATTTTTACCTTAAAACCTTGTAATTTTTAAAGTTTCACTATGAAAACACAAATAAAAGTTTCCAAAAAACTTTCGAAAAGTTTTTAAAATGAGGGGGCTTCTAATATGTCTGGCAAGTCGACTCCTCTAGGGGGGGGGGTAGTCTTGAAAATCATCTTCATCTTAAAGTTTCTCAGAAAAATGTCATTCGACCTTTTGTTTTTATTAATTCATTATGTTTGGGCCATGTTTCACTTTCGTACGAAAAAATCTACTCAAGAAAATAAATGCTTACATGAGTTCACTTCAAGTACAATTATGGATAGAATTTATGCGGAGTGTGGGTGTAGGTGGGTGTGGCTGTGGGGTGTGGGTGTAAATGAACGATGGACACATACCAAAACCCAAACCTACACCCACACTCACACCCACATCCACACACCACAACCCACACCCCATACACACACACACCCCACACCCCACCCACACCCACACCCACACCCCCACACCCACACCACCCACACCCACCTCCCACACCCACACGCCACACCCACACCCTCTTGATGACATCCTGGTGCAAGCTTTAGGAATTTTTGATAACATCCTGGCGAAATCTGTACAAAATTCCGAGTCAATCCTTGGAAAATCTTTATAAATCTTGATGAAATCTTTGAAAAATCGTTGTAAATTTTGATGAAATCCTTGCGAAATCTTCGGAAATCTGAATGAAATTCTTGAGAAATAGTTAGAAATCTTGATGAAATCATTGGGAAAATCTTTAGAAATCTTGATGAAATTTTTGCGAATTCTTCAGAAATATCGATGAAATGGTTGAGAAATCTGTATATATCTTGATGAAATCCTTGGGAAATCTTTAAAAATCCGGATGAAATCCTTGAAAAATCTTTAGAAATCTTGAGGAAAATTGGATAAAATTCTCAGAAATCTCTAGTAAATGTTTGGAAATTTTAAAAATGCTTGAATGAAATCTGTATGAAATATTGATTGAATCCTCGTGCAATCGAAACAGATTCAGCCAACTTCTGATGAAATCCCAGTGTATTCTGTCGAAACCTTACGTTATCAGGCGTTTCTCTGTGAAAGGATCCTGGTGGTTACGGTATTATCTGACAAGCAGTTGCTACAGTAACCGATTGGTTTCTTTTCGACGTGATCCGGTCCGGAATCCGTTAGTTAGGAATCCTGTGAAATACGGTTGGGTTCCGATCGGATTTAGTTGGGAATCCGACGAATTCCGGTGTGATCCGATATCGGATCCGACAGTTTCCGGTAGGATCTACAGGTCGGATTGAATGACCTGGGATACAGCTAAATTGCAAATAAAATTATGATTTACTATGCGGATTTCCTTCGCGGTATGTTCCAATCTATACACCCTAATCCATACGACCAAATCTATACGTCGTTATCCGTACGTCCTAATCTATACGTCCAAATCTATACGTGCTAATCTATACGTCCAAATCTATGCATTCTAATCTATCCGTCCTAATCCATACGTCCAAATCTATACGTCGTTATCTGTACGTCCTAATCTATGCGTCCAAATCTATGCATTCTAATCCATACGTCCTAATCCATACATCCAAATCTATACCTCCTTATCTGTACGTCCTAATCTGTACGTCCAAATATATACGTCCTAATCCATACCTCTAAATCTATACGTCGTTATCTGTACGTGTGGGTGTGCGTGTGCGTGTGCGTGTGCGTGTCGGTGTGCGTGTTCGTGTGGGGTGTGAGGTGTGGGTTAGACATCTGCAAAATCAGTTTTTTTGGTCCCGGTCCCGGTCCCGTCCCGGTGAAAAATGCTTTAGTCTCGGTCCCGGTCCCGGTCAAAATTTTTCTTCAGTCCCGGTCCCGGTCCCGGTCTGGACTCAATGCCAGTTAAAAATTGTATTATGGTGAAAAAATTCCGATTCTCGAAACTGAAACGAGGATCGATGAAAATTTTTATCAGAATTGTAAAGAAAATTGCTGTTTTTTTAGATTTCTGATCACAAAAATATAAGAAATACCTTAACGCAGAATCGAGTTTCTGATAAAAAATAATACCGGGACCAGCTTGAAAATTTTGGTCCCGGTCCCGGCAAAAGTAAAATTTTAGTCCCGGTCCCGTCCCGGTCCCGTCCCGGTCCCGGTAAAAGTCAAAATTTTGGTCCCGGTCCCGGTCCCGCCGGGACCGGGACCGGGACCGGGACTACTTTGCAATGCCTAGTGTGGGTATCGGTGCCGGTATGGGTGAGGGTGTGTGTATTGTCATCACCGCCACCCCACCCCCACCCACCTTACATCCACACCCACACTCACCCACACCCACACCTACATCCACCCACCCTCACCCACACCCACCCACCCTCACCCACACCCACAGCCACACCCTCCTTTTTCTACCTTCCCTTTCTTGCATCTTCTCTTCGAAGAATCAGTTACAAGCCTTAAGATGTATGAAAAGCAAAACCCTAAAATATTGCTTCGATGACAGGTTTTAAAAACATGGGTCTACGTAACTGCGAATATTCAGTGGGGAAGCGCTTTTGCTCACCTAACACACCTTTTATTTCAGCGTCGCGACTTGCCGGCGCGAAGCGCCCCCCGAAGAGCCGCGACCCATACAAGTCTCTGTGTACACAATATCGCGAGCACTCCAAGAATGCTAGCAGCATTCTCTGTGATGCTGCCAGCTTCCGAGGTTGTGCTAGTAGCATCCAAGGTTATACTAGTAGCATTCTAGATGATACTGGTAGCATCCTCGATGATGCTAGCAGCATTCTAGACGATGCCAGTAGCATCCCATATGATGCTAGTAGCGTCCTAGATGATGATAGTAGCATCCCATATGACGCCAGTAGCATCCTAGATGATGCTAGTAGCAGCCCATATGATGACAGTAGCAGCCCATATGATGCTATCAGGATCGCGGCTGATGGTAATAGCATTCCATATGATGCTAGTAGCATCCCATATGGTAATAGTAGCAGCCCATATAATGCTAGCAGGATCCCGGGTGATGCCATTAGCAACCCACGTGATGGTAGTAGCATCCAAGGTGATGCTTGCAGCATACTAGGTGATGCTAGCAGCCTCCCAGGTGATGTCTGTAGCATCTGGAAATAGTGGCTATCTGAAACCATAAGTTGCATAATTGAACTCTAGTTCAATAACTGAATTCAACTTTCAAGTTTGACACTATTGGACGTACAGGTAACGAGGTATAGATTTGGACGCATGGATTAGGACGTGTAGATTTGGACGTATAGGTTAGGACGTATGGATTTGGACGTATGGATTAGGATGTATAGATTTGAACGTATGAATTAGGACGTATAGTTTAGGACGTACAGATAACGACGTATAGATTTGAACTTACGGTTAGGACGTAGAGATTTGGACGTATGGATTTGGACGTATGGATTACGACGTATAGATTAGGACGTATAGATTAGGATGTATAGATTTGGACGTATAGACTAGGACGTAGAGATAACGACGTATAGATTTGGACGTATAGATTTGGACGTATGGATTTGAACGTATGGATTAGGACGTATAGATTAGGGTGTATAGATTTGGAGCTATGGATTAGGACGTACAGATAGCGACGTATAGATTTGGATGTATGGATTAGGACGTATATATTACGACGTATAGATTAGGACGTGTGGATTAGGACGTTTAGATTTGAATGCATAGATTACGACGTAAAGATTTGAAGGTAGAGATTTGAACGTACAGATTGGGACGTATGAATCTGGACGTATAATTTAGGACGTATAGTTTTGGACGTATAAATTAGGACATATAGATCTGGACGTATAGATTAGGACGTATGGATTTGGAAGTAATGATTATGACGTGTAGATTTTAACGTTATGAGAGAAGCTACTATATTTATATTTTGCTATATATATATGATGAGATAAAACGTAGTGACTGTGTAGTGTTATATATGCTTGTGAAATTATATTTGGTATAAGAAATATTATTGGTAGTTGAAATATGGCAATCTGCTTTTATGAAGTTAAGACGTACATTGGAATAGATTAGCAGAAATGGCGGAATTTTCGTTATCGTTTCCGATCGAAACGATAAACCGGATGGACTCACCCACACCCACACGCACACCCGCACCCATCTCACACCCACCTAGGGGTGTCAATTTACATTTACGTTTCATTTAATTTACGCGTAAATTAAATGATAAGAAATTTATATTTATTATAAATGTAAATTATTTTGGTGCAAATTTTACATTAACGATTAATTATCATAATTTACATTTATTCGTAAATGTAAATTTTGCACCAAAATAATTTACATTTATAATAAATATAAATTTCTTATCATTTAATTTATGCGTAAATTAAATAAAAGTAAATTTAAATCGACACCCCATACCACAACCAAAAATCAATGGCGGTAGCATTCTAATTGTTTGAATAACATTGTTGAGTACTTTTACTTGGGGTGTCGATTTAAATTTACTTTTATTTAATTTACGCGTAAATTAAATGATAAGTAATTCACATTTATTATAAATGTAAATTATTTTGTTGCAGAATTTACATTTACGAATAAATGTAAATTATGATAATTTACATTTATTTGTAAATGTAAATTCTGCAACAAAATAATTTACATTTATAATAAATATAAATTTCTCATAATTTATATTTATTATAAAGTAAACGATAAATGACACCCCTACACCCACCCTCCTACACCCTTTCTGCCTACCTACAAGAACTATAAAATCATTGATAATTTTGTTTGAGGAGAATGAGTATTTGAGCAAAATAAAGTTTTGAAGCAACAAAACATAGTTGATCTGTTAATAATGGAATAATGTAGAAGCACTACGGTACATTTCTTGGAATTCTTAAAAATAAATTTCATTTTCAGAGAGATTTTTCTCCTATGCGTACAAATTTTCTCAAGAGAGATTGTTGGCAACATAGCAAAATGATGAACTTGTTCAATAATGTGTAAATCAAATAAAGAACTCTTTGTTTTCGTTTGAATCATCTAGCATTAACGGCAACATCTACAGGTTTAAATCAAATTATAGTAGAAGAAAAATGGGGGTTATGTTGCTTGTTCTTTATGTTAATAAAACTTTTTTCTTTTCGACCGAAATATATTTCAATTTTTTGAAAACAATAATAAAGGAAGTTTCCCATTTTCCATAGGCTATTTCCCCCCCTCCCGCTAGTTTTTTTTTTCTTTGGAATATTTTTTAATTGGGATTCATATGAAAATATTGAAGCACTAAACCGAATCGTGGACATTTCTAGTTTTGGCCAAAAAATCAATACTTTAGGGTAAGGACCGTTATCATCAATTAATTGACCCTGATGTTACATGACATTTTGTATTTCATCAACCGTTATATCAGCAACTACAAAAATTGCACTGCATATAGAGCTAATAGTCCTGTATAAAATTAAAATAAAATCATGTTAGACAATTGATTTATTAATGAGTACGGTCCTTACCCTAAAGTATTGATTTTTTGGCCAAAACTAGAAATGTCCACGATTCGGTTTAGTGCTTCAGTATCCTCAAGTGGGTCCTAACAAAAAGCCATTTGAAAGACTAAAATTCCAGCGGGGGGGGGATGGGGGAGTTCCTTTCCTTACCATCGTTTACAGATGTGAATAGTGTAATTGCTCGTTTTTCGTTTCAAATAATACGATTTCTCTCAGTGTATTATTATTATTAGAAAAGTTAATACTATGAGAAATGCTTCTAGTTTATTTCATACGTCGAACAAAAATATGAGCGGCATAATATCTAGGATCTAAAATCAACATAATCGAAAGAACTAACTTCGTATCCAAAGAAAGAATTTCTTCTGTAGAGTATATATCACAAGTGACGAGAATAATTTTTCCTTTCAGATAAAACAAAGATTATTTTTTTTTGTGAAATCTTTTCGACTTTCGAGCAGATTTCTAGAACAGAAAGACTGTTGCCCCCTTGGAAATAATCTCGATAGAAAATCTCTGATAATATTGAGAGGATAAAGAGTATGATTCACATTTTGCTTTCCCATATTTGGAAAAATTTAACGAAGATAACATCTTTCTGTAGCAAAGTTGAGCTAATTATTTCTTCTAGTGCCAGCTCATATAACTCTGTCAAATATTAAAATATTGTCAGTCAGATAAGAACTAGCAGTTTTTGAAAGTATGGGTTGATTATGATAGATTCAATCAAGTTTTGCGGTAGGAATTTTCTAAAGAGGAAAATCATGACTATGAATCATGCTCTTTGAAGCAAACACTACATTTTAACAACTGATAGTGCTAAACTCAGTGAAAGATAGTATCGCCTGGTTTATAATCTTATTAGATGATTAAATGACAAGATACCAATAACGTCGATCCATACTTAAATTTTACATCTTGACTCAACGATTTTACCTGCACAAACTAAAGATCACATGGAGGTCATTTTCTTCGATGAGTGTCAATATCTTGTTCTTCTATTCACTTCCATGGCATCATAAATACTAATAAATCAAATAATAAAAGTGACAGTGTAACATACATTTTAGATTGTCCAAAACACTCAAATATTCGATAACGAAGTCAAAAGGATAAAATTCAAAATTTCTATCCTCTTTAGTCTTTTTGATTAATATGGCTACTGTTATTTTACCAGATAATGACTTTCATACAAATGTCGACGATCAGTATCCTGAAATTTTCTGTCTAATCTGGCTCGATGCTGGCGCAAACGCTGAAGATGTTCGAGATACAGAACAAAAACTACGTTCTATCATTAATTGTCTGAAGAAGTTTCAAGATTTAAAACAATGTCAAAAATATATTGAAGAACGATCACAAAATGAACGGGTAGTCATGATTGTCAGTGGATCCTTGGGACGAGAAATAGTTCCTTCTATTCACAAACTTCGACAAGTTATATCGATCTATGTGTACTGCATGGATAAAGAAAGTAACAAAAAGTGGGCTGCCAAATTTGCAAAAGTAAAATTAGAATGAATGATTTAGATTTCATTATATGATTTTTTTTTGTTGATAGATAAAAGCTGTTGTTGTTAAACTTGACGAACTTATCGCTCGAATTAAAGATGATCATAAAATTCAGAAAATGGTCGAAGAACCATTATCAATTAATATTTTTACTACAACTACTGGTCCAGGTAAATCCACTATGCCCAGGTCGAAAGTGAGCCATCGGAGGGTGTGGGTGTTCGACTGGACATTTTGCTTACCCACACACTCACTCCACACCCACACCTGCATCCCCACTCGCACACACACACTCACCACACACTCACACCTACACGCACACCCCACACCCACACCCTCATCTACAGTATCAACGAAACAAACTGATATTGAACGCCATCTTCTCTATCGCAGAAGCTGAATGTAATCTTTATATGCGATGGTGAAAAAGTGTATGCAGCTTATCTCAACCGGAATATTCTAGATATGTATAAAATAGTTGGTTCCAAGTAAACCAACAAAAGTACCTTACGTTAGATGTTCCAGTATCTCACTTAAGGATAATGAACTACATATTGTTGTATATTGTATAGAACGCCACTTTTTTCTCTAGACAAATTTTGAAACCGTAAATTTACCCAGTTTCACCTTCAAAGTGTTAATTAGAAACATCCACATAAATTACTTTGAATAGAACAAATCATTTTGAAAATTCACAACGTTTATTTTCATCATTGGGAAAATCAGATTCTAATCAAGTCAAAGGTATAAACTTTTGTCATTGAAAGCAGTTCAATACTGTTCAAAATAAATGACAAGGACTCTTTTCAATGAAATCGATGTTTATTTCTATTCCATGCTTTTGTTTCATTTCAGTACCACTACGTGCAAGTTCCACTGATATTCAACCCAATGCAAAATGGGCACAAAATGGTGTCACTGTGGCTGGAGGAAATGGATCAGGTAGTGGAATTAATCAACTCTCTCTCCCATGGGGTTTGTACGTCGGGGATGATCAAACAATTTATGTCGCTGATACTTCAAATTCCCGTATTCTGGAATGGAAATATAGTGCAACGAATGGAAAAGTGGTTGCTGGTGGAAATGGAGAGGGAAATGGAGCTCATCAGTTAAACAGCCCACGAGATGTGATTATCGACAAAGACAGCGATAGTCTCATCATTAGTGATCGGGGAAATAATAGAGTAGTTCGATGGCCTCGTCGAAATGGTACTAGTGGAGAAATTATCTTTTCGAATATCGCTTACGTCGGTTTGACAATGGACGAAAATGGATCTCTCTATGTCGTTGACGAAGGAAAACATGAAGTGAGACGATATAAAACTGGTGACACTCAAGAAATAGTGGTTGCAGGTGGCAATGGAAAAGGAAATTGTCTCGATAAACTGTCCAATATCCTCTACGTATTTGTCGACCGAGACCATTCAGTGTATGTGTCTGATTGTGGAAATCATCGGGTAATGAAATGGGAGGAAGGTGCAAAACAAGGCATTGTTGTAGCCGGTGGTCAAGGATATGGAAATAGTCTTACCCAATTGTCATATCCTTATGGAGTCGTTGTCGATCAATTGGGTACTGTCTATGTGGCTGATTATTGGAATGATCGAGTCATGCGTTGGTCCAAAGGAGCCACACAGGGAAGTGTCATTGCTGGTGGCAACGGTTCAGGATCACAGTCGAATCAACTCAATCGTCCCATAGGTTTATCATTCGATCGATACGGCAATCTCTATGTCGTCGATCAGTACAATCATCGAATACAAAAATTTAGTATCGAATAAACTCAATAAGAAGATTAATTTTATGTTTTTGTTCTCCTTCTATTACAAATAAATCGCGATTGAATGAAAAAAAGAATTAGTAGCTATTCTGTTCGCACGCGCGCGCGATCAGAAACCAAGCTGGTGGAGCCGTGGCAAGTGTAAAGCTCATACATGCGCAGGAAGACCCACATGATTCACATGCACCCATCCGATATCATGTGTCAATGAGTCTGGAGGGTGTCGGTAGGTGTGGGTGTGGGTGTGGGTTTGGGTGTGTGTGTGGTGTGGGTAGGTGTGGG